AGTAGCTTTCTTGAGTCATACATGGTTAGAAAATGGTAGAGCTGGGTTTGAAAACTAGGTTTTTCTGATTCTAGAAATCAATTTCTTTTCACTAAGCTCTACTGGTTCCTTCTATCAGTTTCTATAAGCCTCAACATTTGAGCTACAAAATGGGACTAATTACACATGATTTACTTCACATATTTCCTTTTTCTCAGTCTTTGTTGTAGGGAGCAAATGAGAATAAGTATGTTACAGTTACTCTTGAAGCATTATAAACCACTCCAAAAGGTAGTGGAATAAGCAACCATTTTTTAAGACTCATAGAATCTGTGGATTAGAAATTCAGGCAGAACATAGTGTGCAAGGCTTTACTCTGTTTCTAGATGTCTGAGGCTCAGGTTGGAAAATTCACACAGCTGAAGGTGACTCAGCAGCTAGGAAGTGGAACTATCTGGAGGTTCTGGGATGACTCCAATGTTGGACTCACCTGGGGCTGGTAATGCACCTACATGTAGCCTTTTCACATGGCTTGGAATCCTCACAACATGGCAGCTTCAGGGTGGTTGGACTTTGTACATGGAGGCTTCAGGCTCCAAAAATGAGCATCCTAGTGCCCAAGGCAGAAGCTGCATCACTTTTATGATCTAGTCTGGGAATCACACAGCATCACTTCTGCCGAATTGTATTGGTAGGAGCAGTGACAAGACTGCTCAGATTCAAGGAAATGAGAGGAGAGAAAGAACCCATCCTTCAATGGGAGAAGTGTTCCTAAGTTTTACGGCTTTTTTTTTTTTTTTAAACCACCACAGTGTATACAGATTCAAGCAAAGTATAGGAGACTGTACAGGAATAATTTCTTGCTATAATCAATGACATCTTTGTTGTCAGTTAGGACACTCTGCCTTGCCAAGCATAGAATACTCATGTCTAAACAATGTTGAACATGAACTGGATTTGATTGTGAACAAGCCTTCTTCCTTTTTCCTGAAGAGAAAGCCTAAATTTTAACAAAGCTGCTTGGCAGCCGCAGTGTCCGCATAGCACCAAAACATCTGAGAGCACTGTTGAAAATTCTGTAACCTCTCCAGCCACTGTGGGTCATGGAAACCTGGTTTTGCTTGCCAACAGGGGGAAGGGAAACAGTAAATGACTCCAAGCTCTTTAAGAATCAGATTTTCAACCTTTCTTTTAAAGTTAAGTACTTTTAGTTGAATTAAATTTAGGTCATGTAAAAAAGCCTGTTTAATTTTCTTTTTAAAAATAAGTTACCATAAGCTGCTATAATTTATTTATTTTCTCCATTTATCCAGTTTAAATTATTCAGGGACTGTATTTTGGTGCTTAATTGGGCACGGCATTAATGAGCCTGGTGAAAATGAGATGGGAAGGCTGTGTGTATGTCAGGCTTGTTTCTGTTAGGTTCTGTATAGATATATGTATTTTTTTTCAACAGGAGAGTTGTTTATTTATTTATTTAAAACTACTGACCCAAATAAATTGTCTGAGGTTTATTTCTGCATTACCAGATGGGGCCCTGGGCTTGGGGCTTAAAATGACCAAGTTTACCTTTTTTTTTTTTTTGAGCAAGGTCTATGAAGGAACATGCCCCAATAGTGAGTCAAGAATAAAGGGTGCAGCCCCAACAAATTCAGAAGGTTGAATCACTTCAGTGACAATTGGTTTTTTAAATGGTCATTATTCAGAGGTGATAATGGATGGAGATAAAAAAAAAAATCGAATCCCCCAGGATACCATTTCTGATTTGAAACTATGTTTTTGTTGCTTACTTACTTACTCGGCATGCTTCTCTCAAAACCATGATATCTGGGAGAAGGATGGAATTTGGAATTAGGCAGACATGAATTCATATTCTGCACAATTATGTGAATGCAAATAAGTTACTCAAACTTTCTGAGCCAGTAATTTGGTTAAAATAAAATAGGTGAAGTAACACCTATTGTTATTGCAAGGATTAAATGAACTGTGGGATGTAAAACCCCATTGCAAAGCCGGGCACTGAGTGAACAGGATGCATTTATCTGTTGGGTTGTTTTACCCTCTTTTTGCATTTTCAGTAGTGTAGCAGAAACAGAGAACACAGCAGTGCTCCATACAGATGACATGGTATTGAAGCCTTTGCGGGCTATTTCCAAGGACTGAATTTACTCACCTTCATCCCTTTTGAGCCAGGTTGTTGGTGCCTTTCTCCCAAACAAAACGAATCAATTGACTGGATAAAAGGGAGAGATTTTTACATTTATTGGACATTGACTATGAACCATGCAACATACTGAGTGTTTCACATTCATTTTCTCATTTACTTCTTATAATGACCTTAGGAGAATGTGTTATGCTCCTTAATCAATTACCCTGAAATATAGTGGCTTAATGCAACAATCATTTATTGTTTCTCAGCTGGGCAGCTTTGAGGTGAGTCAGTCTTGGCTGATCTTAACTGGGCTTGCTCCCGTGTCTGTGGTCAGCTAATGGGTCAACTGGTATAAACCAAACTAGGATGGACTTGGCTGGCTGAGACGGCTCAGCTCCACCCAATGTTGTCTCTCACCCTCTTGCAGGTTATCTTGGGCTGGTTCTCATGGTGGTGGCAGGGGTCCAAGAGAGGACGAGGAAACATACATGTTACTTACTGTCCTACTGGTCGAAGCAAGTTATGTGGCCAGCCTCTGAGTTAGGGTGGGAAAGCACATCCAAAGGGAATGGATTCAGGAAGGCATGACCATATGGGGGCCATTAGTGTACTTGATCTTCCACAGTACGCATCATTATTACGCCCATTTACAGAGGAGAGGGGGGCTAACAATGCTGTGCCTCTTGGGCATTTGCCTGCCCCCTAGTGTCTCATTCTGCTGTGTTCTTTCCTGGTGATCTACTACATGGGCTGGGAATGTTGTCGGATCAGTTTATTTCTCCCTGTCTCCCATTATTTGGTGTTCATTTGAAATTTCATGTAAGATTTTTAGGACTAACCAATTACTCCTAATGAAACCCAGTAGAATGCCATCAGGGGACAGTGCAGATAAGTCAGTAAGGTAAGTCTACTTATCAGAGGAAATGAAAGGGAGGCAGATATGTAATTGGATGGAGCATAAATGGAAGACAATACAAATTTCTATTTATTTGTTTGCCAGTTTCCCTGATATTGCCTGGGTCAGCTCCCCCTTCTCCATGCCATCCTATCTGAATGCTGACTAAAAGGTAAGTCTAAAAAGGTAAGATCCTGGCATTGGCCTGGGGTATTTATTAGCTCTGACCTTGGGCAAGGAAGTTACCTGACTTCTCTGAGCTTCCATTTCCTCATGTGGGCAATGAAAATAATAGGACAGATGTTGGTGGCGTTGGCTAAAGGAGACCTGCAGGTGAAGTGCCTTGCCTGTGTCTGCAAACTCCTCCCCACCAAGCACTTCTTGATACTGGGAAGTGCAGAAGTTTGGCCTTCACAATAGGGGGGCTCCAGGTGAGCTGCCAGCATGGTACTGAGAGGCTGGGCAGCATGAGGCCTGTTAATGGGTTTTATGGCTCTGTTGAGTACCTCAAACTACAGCTATTTATTATAGAATGCTGTTTAGACACGGTTGCAATATACATATTTTAAAAATTGATTTGTATAAGCTCATATCTAGCAAATAAAGAATATGCAGGCCCATAACACTTACAAAGCATTGCAATTGCTGTTTACCGCCCTCTCTTGCTTCTCAGGTAGTAACAAAGGCTTTGAGGAGACAACAGACAACCCGCCTTGGTCTTTGGATCTCCGAAGTCTAATCTGGCAGAGTAATGCAACCTATGTAGGTACTCAGTAAATGGGTTAAATCAATGAATAAATAAATAGTCTTCTTGTTTCTTTATTTCTATATCTTATTTCCTTATTTATTCCTTATAAGCCCTGAACTGTGTAAAATATTGGCTCCACATTTATGCAAATATAGTCAAGGATTTATCCTGAATCTTTAGTTAATGTTTATTGAGCACCATTATGAACCTGGGAGTGGGGCGGGGGGGAGCTGTCAAGACGTGCTTTATCCTGCCATCTGGGATCTGACATTAATCAATGACAGGAGGTGTTTGTTACGAGGCGTGAAGTTCAGGTGGCCTGGTCTTAAGATGCGTGAGTGACAACATAAAGGTGGTAACTTCTGGCCTGGGCACCATACTGCAGGGAAGTTATGCGTGGTCTCCACTGCGCCTTCTGCAGGCCCAGCACCCCAAGTTTGCCTTTTCTGACCTGGTCGGTCAGCGTCTGAGAGCTACGGCTACCGCTGTCTCTCCAGGATGCCGCGGAGTCCCGCCATTGCCCTCCCGGTCGGCGGGGATTTGCCCTGCCCGACAACTCCAGAGCAGCACTCGCGCTTTTCAGCTCTTGCGTGTGCCTGGCGCCCTCCCCAGATCAGACGGCAGACAGCGTCCGGAAACCCGGCCAAGGGCAGGACCCGCAGCGACGCCCGCCCGCCCCTCCGCTCGGTGGTCAGCTCCAAGGGCGTGGCAGGACTGGGTCCCCAGCGCCCCGCAGACGAAGCTCGGGCCCCAAGTGATCACTTTCTGAGGGAGCCCGCCATCCCCTGAGGCAGTTATTTGGCTAGCTGGAGCTGAGGCGGGGGCTGAAGGGCTTCCCGAAGCCGCCCACCAGGGCCTCCGGGAGCTGAGTCCCGACTGCAGCTCGAAGAGGGCGGAGGAAAGTTGGGGTCGGGGCCGCGGCGCCGGGAGCGCGGAAGCCTGGGCCACTGTCCGCGTCTCATGAATATGCAGGAGCCACCTCCCTCCCTCCGTGACGTCACGGGCCGTCCCGGGGTGAGCGCCGGAGCCGCTCCGGGTCCGAGCCAGTGAGCGCGGCTGCTGCCGGCGAGCGAACGGCGCGGCGGCGGTACCGGAGGCCGAGCGCGGCGGCGCCGAAGCGCACGCAGCGGGCAAGGCTGGGCTGTCCGCGGCCGGGCGGGTACCAGGAGGCGCAGCCGGCGCGGGTAGCAGGCGGCAGAGACCGCTCGTTGGCGGCGGCGGCGAGGATGCTGACTGGGAGGCTGTGCTGGGTGCCGCTCCTGCTGGCGCTGGGCGTGGGGAGCGACAGTGGCGGCGGCGGCGGCGGCGGAGGGGGCAGCCGGCGGCGCCGCCTCCTCGCGGGCAAAGGTGGGTGATGGGGAAGTTTCCTTCACTTTGAGGAGGGAGACGGGGCAGGTTTGAGGGTGCCAGCGGCGAAGACCCGGGCTCACGATAGGTTTGCTCACCCTCATTTGCTGCAGCTTCCCGGGCCTCGTTGCGGTCTGGATTCCCGAAGTGAGCGCCCTGTGCCGGGGACTGAGAGAGGTTCCACCTGCAGACGCCGGCCCAACTTCTGGACGGGGTCCAGAGAATGAGGAGAAGCGAGTTTTGGGGAGTCCGGACAACTTCGGGGGCTGTCTGTGCTGGGGTGGGGGCGTAGTGGACGAGCCTGGGGCGCCGGCTCGGAATGGCTGAAGCAGGGCGCTGGCGCGGGGAGGAGAGGCAGTTGTGCTCCCGCCGGAGGGAGGGATCAGCGGCGGTGCCTTTAAAGGAGGTAGCGGAGCTACTCTCCCAGCTCAGGGTTGGGGTGGAAACTTGTAGGCCCCAGGGGAACCCCCCAACCCTGGCTCGCTTCAGGCTCCCCCAGGGCGTTTGTGGCTCCCCAGGGAACGTGCGCCCTCCGGGTGAGCTGCGGAGTCTTGTAGAAGTGCGGCAGGTGACGCCCCCCACTGCCGCTCCGACTTCGCCGCGGCTCGGAAGGGCAGGCGCTGAGCCTGGCGCCCCTCCCCCGGCCACCCTGGTGAGTAGGAGATCTTGACCTCTCCTCCCCTCCGGCCCCGAAAAAGCAAGAGCCCTGAGAAAGCCTGGCGCTGTCCGGAGACTAGGCTGGCGAGCGGCGGAGTTTGACAGTTGCCTGGGAGAGCCGGGAGAGGGGCTGGGGTGGGGGGCGCCTCGAGGGCGGGTCTGAAACCGAAGATTCGTGCTTGCGGGACCTTTCGGGAGAGGCAAGGGTGGAGCAGAGGCGGGTGTAGGTGGTGGTGGGCGCCAGGGACACAGTAGAGATCAGGGCTGGAGCGCCCAGCTTAGCGATAACTTGTTGATTCTCTGAGCTGTTGACAAGGAGGGCGTGCGTTTGGTTTGAGGGCTGTGGCCAAATCTGCCAGGTAAGATAGTCACTGGAATCGTGTCTGACCATCACCAGAGAATGAAGGGGTTTGCATCTGTAGGTAAAGAGGCTCCCTCTTAGAGACAACCTCACTTGCAAGGGGACTTTGAACTATAGCTTACCAGCCAGGGAGAAAATTGTACCAGGTTTAATTACTCTTTGGGGGATGACAAGAGTGAGAGGCAGACTATTAACCTCTGTGTCACCTGGGCTTGGGAATGCCTCTTTTGCAACGTGAGAATGATACATCTGAGAATGGGAGAGTTTCTGTTTATCTTGTAATCTTTTAATTTTTTGTGACATGGTTTTGAAACTTTTATAAGCATGCATGCTATATCTTTTCATCCAATTTCCCCATCCTCCTATACTGGAGAGGCCATTTCTTTTTTGGGGGAAGACAAAGAAAAGCTCATTATGAAGATGAGTTGCTGATAAGGGGTTATTCTGATAGACTGTTGTTTTGGTGAAAACAAATGAAAACCAATCAACTTTCAAACCTCTTCCCCAATATAGACACTCGGTTGAAAAGGCCAATGGCATATTTTTGATTTTTTCATCACTTTGTAGTAGAGCAAATGGTGTATTTATAAGCAGATGTCTACAAACAGGGGAGGTCACAGCAAATGAAGAAAGAGGCAACACTTGAGTGGGAAGAAGACCTGGTGTGCACATGCATTGCTGAGTTCTCAGGTCAGAATGGAAAGTTTTGTAGAGGTAAGAAAGATTAAAAAGGAAAAAAATCCAGGCTCTCGGTGGTTCACATTTATGTGAATAATTATGTTCATTTTAACCAACACTTTTTATGTCTTAACTTGGAATATATATATATATAAAATATATTCCACTTGGAATTATATATAATATATATTCATTTAGAGACGAAAACAAGCCATTTGTCTTCCCAGTGTAAAAAGTTGATTAGCTCCGCAGAGTGAAAGTTGCCGTCGGAATACTCGGTTCTTCCTTCTTTACCCTTCCAACCACTAGGGGGCTGCAAAGAGCACTTTTAGCAGCATTTTTTTAAAAAACAGATAAATGTGTAGTATTTGATCAAAACAGAAACGTTTATTATGACACTTTAGTTGGTGTTTATAGGGCTGACTTTCCTTATTACAATGGGCTTGAATTTTAAATTTCCAAATCTCACATAATGTCTGAAGACTATTTGAGATAATAAAGGTAAGGTTCATGTATAATGCATCCTGCCGCTGACTTTGTCATTGCTTAGGTTTATATCATTATTATTCCCATCACTGAAAAAGAGAAGTCAGGAGGGCTTGTGAGGAATATAGAACAAAAAATAGCTTTATTCTTCTATACAATTCTGTATTCATGTGTAGAAGAAAATTGTGAGTGTGACATCAAGCTACCTGGTAGAGTTGAATGCACCCTCTGGACAACTGCCTGGAAGCACACCCTCCCAGCTTTGGGCTCATGTAAGATGTCATGTGTGTGGTGCACAGCTTGTGCTGCCTTTGTGTTCCTTGCTTCTTTCTGCAGGGAGCTGAGTAGTTAATCCCAGTGACTGTTTAGGGTTTTCACAGAATTACTGCACTTTGAGTGGGAACATATTTCTGATTTTGGAAATAATACAGTTGCCAGGCAGTTATTATAACCCCTTCCCTCCACTCTCCCATACATTGGCTATTTAAAAAGGACAAACAATTCTTTAAAAGGTCAATTTCCATGCACATGTTTTATCAACAAAACTGGGAAGGTATTTTGGACCCAAAAAGTCTCTGGAGCAGCAAAAGACATGTCTTATACCAGGGAAAGAAGGCAATGCAATCTAGACAAACATCTTAAGGTTTGTGCTGGATTTAGTGATGCATCAGTGATGTCAGGTTTCAAGCACCTGGTGCACAGTTCTCAACACCCACGTATAGGTCATTCAGAACAGTACCTGAGCGTAGACCATCCGTCATTGCAGTGCTCTCCTCTGTGCTCGGGCTCAGTGTTCTGGAGGATTCGTAGCACATATCAGAAGACTACCCTCCCTGTCCATCTCACCCCTCCCTTCTTGTGAGAGCTTTGATCTAGTTGGAGAGACAAGATTTTTATCTGGAAATTTTAAGAGAATGACAGAAGACAGAATTTTTCTGAAGAATAGTACTATGTGGTGGGGACACACAAGAGAGAGGGAGGTAGGACAAGGGCATGCAAAGGCAGCATCTGGTAATAGGGAGGGGAAAAGACAGAGTAGAATTATAGCAGTGGTAGTATAATTGTAGTAATTGCAGTTTATGGAACCCCTCCTTAGTATGTTACAGGCACTATGCTAATCCTTTTACCTGGGCTGACTCTAATTTTTACAACCCATGCAGGCTGGTAGCCCATTTCACAGATGAAAAACTAAGTCTGAGACAGGATAAATGACTCACTAAGACCACCAGTAGAGGGCATGGCTCTGGGATGAGAATAAGAAGGGTCACCTGCCCATTGACCCCTGACTATTATCAGATAATTCTCCCCTTTGGTTTTAAAAGCAGATCTAGCAACACAGGGAAGCCGAGCTGATTGTATATCTGAGTTCCCCATGAGCCCTGTGGTCCTGCCCGTAGCAGTAGAAGTATCCAGGGATGTTGTTCACAACCTGCTGGTGAGGTGAGGGAAGTGGGCCTTGCTTTCATCAATGGAAACCAATGCTTCTGCTTTGAGCAGCAGCTTCATCCTCCATCCCACAGATTCAGAACTCATCCTTGCATTTCCAATGGCACACTGAAGAATTTCCTGTAGGGGCAAAGGTGATGTGGAATTTATGGTGAATTGTTCTAAATTATCTCTGGGCAAGTAGCATGTGTGTTCTATGGGTATGGCAGTTATTTCTCACACACAGCCAAAAGCCCTCAGCAGTTCATCAGAGGATGTAGTCTGACCTGCTGTCATCCTGAATCACCTGTGCTTCCTGGACCAGGATGTACTCATTCCTGCCCTAGAGCCTCTGGCCTGTGTCTTTCTCAGCCTAATTTCTAGTGTTACTCAAGACATGACCAAGCTTAGACATAGTCTCCTCCTAGAAACCTTTGCAGGCTGCTCCCCCAGGCTGGTCACCCCCAGAAGGCTATGGCTCTCCTCCTGGCATGCCTTTGCACCTTGTCTGGCTCCAGCACTGTTCCTTGAGGCCCGATGACTGGAATCTGGATCCTGACTCTCCCTGCATTTTCAGGGCCAACCTGCTGCTTGGCCTCTCCATGCAAGCTGAGCAGTTAGGGGGGATTACTATGCTGCTGTTTTTGACATAGACATTTTGGACATTTTCTCCTCTCCTATATGAAGTAAAATTTGGGCTTAATAGCCAGAGAAATCTAGGTTCCAATCCTGGCCCTGCTGCTTCCTAGCTAGATAATCTTGGGCAAATTAGTTGACCCCTTTGAGCCTGTTTCCTAATCTAAACAATGGGGATACAAAGATCTTGCAAAATGATTGACAGAATTGTGCTTAGAAATTACTTAGCCAAGTTCATGGCATGTAAACAGCACTAAATACAAATGATTATAAATATTGATTGCTTAAATACTGGGCTCTAGTGTCTGAGATTTGGTGAGAATCCCCCTTTCTGACCTCTTTGCAATTGAGTAGCTTTGTTCATATTTTTTCTCAGCTCAAACTCTGTTCTATCTTTTTTTTTTTTTGTATGTGTGTCTTTCTCTGTATCTCTTTGTGTGCATGTATATGGGTGTGTAATTATATATGAATATAAGTACACATTCATATACACATTTGGCTTGAATTGAAGCCCTTTTACTAGTCTCTGTACACCTTTGAGGCCAGAGCCAATTCTCAAAAGCCACTGCATTTAATGCAGGACGAGTTCAGAGTAAGGATTCAGCAGTGTGCCATATATAAATAAATATGCATATCTCCATGTGCCAGCAGTGGCGGTGTGGGGTTCTAGTCTCTGGAGGAAGAGCTTCTGTAGTGTGATTTGGGTTTGTAAGGAGAGGCCCACTGACCAGTTATCATTCCTCCTATACCTGTTGTC